TCGCTCACTGGGAGACTGCCTGTTTTGCTGTTCTTCAGCGCCATTGCAATCAAACAACTACAGGTCAGAGAAATACAGGAAATATCAGGAGATTGCATATACTCAGCCATCATTCTGGTCTAGCAACCTCAGACCCATCTCTTAAGACACAAACAGCTGGCTGCTCATGGGATTACCGTTCTCGAGTGCTCAGAAGTCACCCTGTGATCCTGCACATTTCGCTCCTTTGTGCTATTACTCTACCTTTATGCTGATGTCCAGGAACTAGTTTGCTAAAAAACTCCCCCTCAGAGGCAGCTTCCCCAGAACTCCTGGGTGGATGATGGGATTTTTGTTCCCTTCGAAAGGAATCAAACACTCTCGTGGTACCAAACCTACAGCGTTACAGTCATCCCAACACAGGATGTAGGTGATACGCTGTTCTGCTCTCTACTCACCTATATGAATAGATCGGTTTGGGGTAGTGCTTTGGATGAAGTTCTTGGGCAGAGTGAGGAGCCAGGCGTGGCTGAGAATAGTGTGGCTGAGTCCCGTAGGATGTGTTGTAGATGGCTGCTGGGTTACACTGTATGCAGAAGGAAAAGAAGGAAAATACTGGATGCAAAATGTCCGTGGGTATGTAGGTCTAGGGATACGTTACTGTTTTTCTTTTAAAAGAGTTCTAGATATGATCTTGGCAGGTACTCCAAGACACAGATGACAAGCAAATAACAGTACCTGTTGCGTGTTCTGTGCTAGGGCAAACACTTGCTGCGAATGAGGAGGAGGAAAGAGTTGTTGCTGTGCTTGTAAACTAGGAGACGGCTGCCCACCTACAGCGTACTGGCTCATCTGCTGAGATAAAGACAGACGTGTCAGTCTTGAAATTACCAACATCTTTTCCTAAGAAGTGTTGCAATAATAAGCCATGGAGGCCTGCACTTACATTTGCTCCGTGTGTTGAAATAGAATTCAGTCCCAGGATTCCCTGTGGCAGGCTGGCCTGGACATGAATCATTGCTCCAGGTGCTCCTGTGGAGTGCATATTGCTCGCTACAGGACCTGTTTGGGAGAAAGCAAAGGGAATGAATGGTCGCGTGGAAGTACACTTCAGAAAAGAGAGCTGACATTTGTTTTTAATAGAGGCAGTTGAACACAGCTAAGCTCTGGAGTGGATAATCACACCGCTCTGTGGCTCTTCCGTCCCAAAAGAACCCAGAGCGTTTCACAAATTGCAAAGTTGACATCAGCTGCTTCTAAAACTTGTTATGCAGGGAATGAAAGATGACAGCTGTTTAACAGTCCACAGTGGTGTTACCGACACAGTATCTTACAAAAGAAAAGAAAAAAAAAAGCCATATTCAGCACTATCTGAACTCCAGAAGGATTTCTGCTCTAAAGCGAGCAAGATGATACGCTGTGCTCCCTCAGCAGAATGCCGTAGGGAAAAAGTGTGTTTACCTAAAGGATGTTCACAAAGGAAAGAAAGTCTTTCAACGAACATATGCTGTAAGTCTGTATGAAGCAAACAGGTATGGGGTAAGTAAGATACTCTTACTTTTATCAATGTTGAAATAAACAAGAAAGACTAATTACCTAATTTCAAAGCTGTTGAAAACCTCTGAAATGCAAGTCTTAAATACCTTGGCCCAAGTTCATGCAACAAGGCACCGGCAACTACCCTGAGTAGAAAAGCCAATTGGATCCTAAGATCTCTGTTGTGACTGCTAGGGCTCTCTGCCTCTCCAAATTAAGGAAATGTATCAGCAACAGCCTTATCAGAAGACAACAGGCTCCAGGTCTCCTGACAGGAAGGGAAATGTAATGCACTTAAAAGGAATCTCCTAATCGGAAAGCTTGGCTGGGGCAGGGGGAGAAAGGAGGCAGTAGGCTGTGTCGTTTAAAGAGCAGTTATTTAACATCCTAACAGCTTACCTGTCTGTTGTAGCATTGCATTCTGGGCACCGAGGCTAAAATCCATTCTTCCACTGGCCATCTGTTGTAAGCGAGGAACATCAACAGATGTCAGCCACGACAAGGACTGTAAGTCACTGGGGAGGTCATCTTCACTCAGCTGGGAGGGGTCAGAAGCTACGAGCCTGCAAAATAGCATGAAAGGTTAGCGGAGAGCAAAGATGCTGCTACACTGTCCCTGGTAAGAGGGGAGATGATGGGGATGCCAAAGCTCACGTAGGTCAGCGGGGAAAACGCATCAGGCTGGAATTCTGTTTGCAGAATTCGGATGCGATCTTTGGCTTCGCAACTGGCTGGTTACTGCCACCCTGTTCCTAAGCGTCTGTTCCTTCGTACAATTTAAAACATTTTGGTAAGAAAACTGCTTGTGCAGTATTTGTAGGGGAAGAAGGCGTAAGAACCCAGAAGAGAAACCACCTAGAAACAAAACCAAAGCTGATCCATTATTTTCACATTTGTCAGAAATCTGCACTTGTTTGGCCTTGATGTAGAAGGAACCTGTCAGGACTTTTAACCTGACAATTTTGCATTAACCTTGAAATCCAGCGACCAGCCAGCCTCGGAAGGAGTTTCTGTGCCGAGCTCCTCAAGGGCCTGTGTCTGCTGCTGGCTTGGACACCTGGAGAGGGCTTTTCCCAGCCACTGCATCCCATCGGTGGGGACTGATCAGCGGAGAGCTGCTGCGTAAAAAAAAAACTTTACAGAATAAACCGGTGATCTCTTCCACTCAGATATATGAAGTTATTAACAAGGAACCACGAAACAATTTTTTTAGGCAGTTTTTGACGTGCTAAAGGATCAGAAGGAAAAGGTAGTGACTGAACACACAGTAACAGCTGTGTGTACAGTAGTACAGTACAGTAGCAGCTGCCTGTAGCAACTAAACTGAGGCATAACGATGACAGGCTGCTTTTGGTTTAAAGCTCTGGTTTTGCTACATTCGGCATGCTCTGTCCCACCTGTTTTGTTTTGCTTCTGATAGAGTGCACGGTACAAAACTGAAATTTTGGAATATATTTACAGTACTCAAAAATTCCTGTGTGGTCGAAATTGCTGTTAAAGTCGATAAAAGAACTATTGCAAATGAAGGGCTAAACTACTTTTACTGATGTTAAACAGTACTACAGCAGTCACGGGTATCTTGAGGAGTAAAGCAGTAATTAGAACATGTCAGGAAGTTATCATTAGATAGGCAGGGTAAATCCAAAGGGATTCAGGTCCAGGAAAACATCTTTCTCTTTCAGAAGAACACAGTTTAGTTGGATGTAGTTGATTTTGCTTTCAAAACAAAGGCTTTAAAGAGCTCTCTCATATATGTTAAAGCCAGCTGCGTGGTACTAAAGTGTGTTCATTGCCAAATGACAATGAAGAAGCCTTAAATAAATCTGGTCTCTTGCTGAAGCATCTTTTATGTTACATGATTCTAAAGCAGCTTAAAAGAACAAGCCAGAACTCTAGTGCCTGGCTGCCCAGGAGGTTTCAGCTCCTCTATTCATGATTTCCAGAAACACGTATCAAAGTTCCCTAAACTATTATCTGGAAGATCTTTAAAGCAGAATGCAATTTATTGGTTTGTAAAAAGATTCTGAAAAGAAGAAAAGAAAGAAGAAAAAAAAATCCAACACATGACCAGGAGCCAAAAGCTCAAATCCTGGCCAAAAAACATCTTCAAATCTCTCTCCCAGCCTACCCTGTTTTCTTTCTCCTACTGTAGTTATAGTGCAATAATTAGCATTGCCATGGTTACCACTGTTCAGTTATTTTGTGAGGCCTGGGACTTAAATACATAAAAAGACTATCAGGTGACGGCTCTCCCCGCCCGGAGATTGGCTGGATTGGAAGTAAACAAGAGCATTAAATGATTTGAAAACTGGGCAGGCTCATGTCGTTTGCAACAGTTGGGCCCATTCATGGGAAGCTGATAACCCATTGTGCCGCCAACGACTGCTGCCCGGTGGCACGTGGCCTCGATTGTTTTTGGGATTCTTGCTTAATTGTTTTTTCCCCCCCTCCTCCTTTTTACAAACTTCACATTAATCTGGCTGAATGACAGCCGACACACAACACACATCCACATGCCATCTGGCACCCCGGTCCCTGCCAGTCCTCCCAGACAAGTCAGCTCCTTCAACAAATAACGGGGTCAGATGGGCGGCGAGGGTCAGCACCCACTGCACACGCCTCCTGTCAGGCAATGAATCCGCCACATGCCCTCGCCGCTCCTCCGCGTGGGACGAGCATCTCCGCACTGGAGGACTGCGGGAGTCACGGTGGTGCTCAGCAGCCTTCCCAGCTGTAGCTTTTTGGGTAACAAAGGCCTCTGCTTCGCACTCACCCTAAATGCACTCATCCTGATGCTCTTTCTAGACATGGGAATGGCTGGCGGTACCCCGGGCACAGTTGGATGCCATCAGAAGCTTGAACCGTGACTCTCCGACGTGCCCGTCAGCATCGCGCAGCGTGCCCCTCTCAGCATCCGCGTGGTGCTCCCTCCCTCTCGCACTAACACCCTGGATCCAAATGAGGGCAAGGAAGGTGACTGAATTTTTAAGTTGATATAGCAGTCATTAAGCTCCATTTTAAACAGATATAAAGACGCGATAATATATAACAACTAGACAAAGGGTGCGAGCCAGCTCTTTTTCCAAGGCAAAGATATTTTCTTCCCTACCCCATCCTAGCATGGCATGGCTGTTTGAATTTGTGTTTGCAGTTCTTTTAAAATTACCTCCTGCTGTTCACTTACCCATTTTTTGGTACGGATGTGTTAGTTGTCAGAGTAACTCTTTTCATTAATAATGGGGAAAAAAGTATATTTAATCAGAATAAGGTATTTCACATTTAAGGATTATTCTTCAGGTTGTCTTCGAAACCAATGTTGAAATTTCATATGTCTTCGAGAAGGTGAAACTGCTTAAAGTATGCCCATCACCGTCTGACTGAGGTGTTTTAAATGCTCAGATATATTCTGCAGCACAAAACCAGCTTATCTCACAGTACGCAGGCTCAATGTGTGTCCTGCTTTTAGTGAAAAAATGTTAATCTAACTGCTTCTGGAAAGCGAGTTATGCACAGTGCTACCTAACATTTTAATCTCACAGGGTTCAATCTTTCTGAAAAATTGCCTGTGCTGAGCCAACTACAAAAATATAAGTCCGTACTGTAATATCGTGTGTACTTTGATTCTGTTCCCCTCCACCACCCTTTTCGGCTCACATTTGAGGGTAAACTTCAGGAGTCAGAGATCCTGTCTTTAGATGGGTGTTCACAGCCCCTGGCACAATGGGGCACTGTAGTAAAAGCAGCCATTTCCTTTCAATGCATGTAAATGAGATAAATAGTGATACGCTATAATTAATGCACACTACCGCAAATGTCCCCAGCTGCACGTTCCCCAGGGCTGTCTGGTGTATACACTGAGCTGCTAAACGCCTACGAGCAAAAGGTTACAGTCACACCAAATGTGTTGCAAACATGATATTATTTTTAAAGGTGTGGTGAAATTATGCAACTCCGTTTTTACCACTCTCCTTTCAAATCTCTGCAGGAAAATACCCTTCTGCTTCTATGTGTTTCTGTCCTAGAAAGGCACCTGCATTAGCAAGAATCCACGCGATGCTATGGATGTATGCCCCAGTTGTCCAAGGACGCTGCCCTCCTGCGAAAAGTGCCCTGAGAGCTATGACAGGTGACACAGAAATGCTGAGTGGTAGCATTAGTCTTTGCTATCTGCTCCATCACACAGTGAACAAAATATTTATCTAACCAGGGAAATAGATCTTGGCCACCAGCCAGCCCGCACAAAGTTTACTTTTCCAGAATCGGGAAAAACACCCCTTGGAATGAAACCCCTTTCCAAATCTCCCGATACTGAGCTCCAGACCGTCCTGCCTGCGGTCATGGAGAAATCGGACTCCTGCATTGGCTGCACATCTGACAAAGCTCACTGGAGCCTGTCAGCAGCGCAACACCGTTTGCTAAATGTACCTAAAGATACCTCTATTCCCCACCCCCCAAAAAAAGTACACCTTGCTGGCACAGGAAATAGCTAGATAGAATGAAATTTCATTCCCAGCATTACCTTGTGGGAATCTGCAGCTAACATCAGAGTTGAATTTGAATCTATATTCATAGATCTAACTCTATGATCTTTCCTCACATTGAGTTGTTCTAACGAGCTGGATCTAAGGGAGTTCATCACCACAGAAACCACTGTCAAGGTGAACTATCCACTTCTACGCTTGCAAACACCATTGTATAGTGAACCTGTCGCTGGAGACTATAGCGACCATCTCTTCAACAGCATCATAGAGTAGTCCGCCAAACAAGTTTGTTAAAACTAAAGGAAAGCTCAGCAACAAGTAGACCTTAAGATATTTTATCTCCAGCTAGTTTAGCTAATAACTGCGTGTTTCAGTCTATGACATGGTGTGCAGAGTTACATATTTCTATGCATATTGCACCATTCACATTTCGGGTACTCTGCTTGTTTGCTCTGGAGTCTGTCTCTAAAAGATTTAAAGCACTCAAACTGGTTGGTGTTGTAGGGCGAATGTAATGCTACAGGTTCTCTCAAAGGGATTAGTGCGTGGTGGCAACTCATCGCTGCCCCTGTTCTGAACCAAGTCAGACCAAAACTTTGTGGTTGCATTTGGCATATTCAACTTCAACCAGAGTTTTAAGACGTCTGTCACTCAATGGACAATTTTTATTACCATTGCCAGCACTGACATCTGAGCTTTTTGCCTATGCTGGCATAATACAACTGTTCAACAAGTAGGAGCAATCAGGGGTGACGTTCTTAACCAGCTGTTTGCAATGGTTTTTCCAGTGTGAGTGACAATTGAACAGGCAGAGTCATAAGAAGACCTCTTCTTGAAGTGGTGATGAGATGATGGTTTTCTTTTCTCTGGGGTTACGTAATGTCTCAGAACAAGCACAATGATTTCTCATATGTAAAACAACACAAGGAAAATATTTATGTTTTGTGACTCTTCAGCTGTCTCCACGGAAAGAAGTATTCTCTGTTTTACTGAAGGAGTCAACTTCTCCTTTTGCTCCTCACTCCATCTGCTCTGCTCCTTCCCTCTATGCACTTCTCTTCCCATCTTCCTCCCTTGCAGGT